AAAGAGTACGATGCGAGTCTACAAAATCTGAATGTACACAATTCGCATGAAATCAAACCATTGATTTTGTTTCATTTAAATTTATGTTTCATTTTAGGAGAAGAAATAACATTAACAAGTTCGCTTTGTTATATCCCCGCACTTGTTCCATATCATTCTCATGATAAACGCCCAGAATATTTAATTTATGCTGGAATTGTATTCACAGTATTAACTCGCTTTTATCTGTATGAATGGGGTAATAATGACTGGGCTCAGAAAGCTCCAGAACATTTAGTTAACTTAGCATATAATGGTAAATTACAAGAACTAACTCAACAGATCGTTATTATGGATCAAATACTTTCTGATGATGTTAATCATGGAATCCCTTCAGATGCTATAGATGCTGTATTAAAAACTGTGAATGGTATCAAAATTAAGAATATTAAGCATCTAGCAGAATTAATTGATGAAATATCAAATAAGGAAGATAACGGTTTTATTCGATTTGAAACAGAATCCGAAGAATTTATTGTAGTTCAGTGTAATCAAGCTAAACAATCAGAAGAAAGAATTTTAAAACAAAATTCCATAGCCCATGCAAGAAGTGAACATTTACGTTAATCCCTTTTGATGTTTTGATAATGAAGATATGAAGAAATTTTCAAGATCAATTTTATCCTTGTCTATTTGTGATTCAATAATAACTCTTCGCAATAATAAAATTTGTCTTACTCGTAAATAAAGAATTTCATTTCGTTTATTTATCATTAAGGTGAAATTTACAACTTTGTTCGACGGCTAAGGCCGTGAAGGATAAGATAAGAGAATACCAACATCCATCTTCAAGATGTTCTTGGTATACTTTTTCTGTTTTGAAAAGAACGCAGGGCAGGTCAGGTCAGATTACAGGCTACTAAAATGTCTCAATCTGCAGGCCTCTAGAAGTAAGTAAAAACGTCAGACACATCTTTTCATTTCTACTAATAAGAAAGAAAGATTTTCTCTGAGTCAATTACAAAAACAATACTTATACCTTACATGTAGAGGTGTAAGCCGATCGGTTAAGCCGTCGCCGCCGCTGCAATCTTGTCTAGTGGTGAATTCAATAGAGAAAAACGAAAAAATTCATACTAAACAATTAAACATTATCGCATAAAAGATTAACATAATAGTTAATGTACAAACCTACCATTTACATTATGTCTTTTATGAATAATTTATTAGAAAACCTTTCTGTTCGTATTAAACCACCTACCATGACAAAATCATCGTTTCTTTGAAGTTATTTTTGGTCATTTGTACAATAATGAAAAACCTGACGACTATTGATACACGATTCGAAACTGTATAGATGTTTATAAATCAACTACTAGCAGCGGAAATATGAAAGATCATTTATTAGCAATTCATCAAGTAACTGGTCCACAAGAAACTAAAAAAACAAAAAATCATATTCTTTCGATGTTCTTTCGAGAAAAATATTCAACAAAAGCTTCACAAGCAAAACAACAACCTGGTCATCAACTAACATTAATGTGCTGTCGAGACCTCCTTCCATTTTCTATCGTTGATAACGGAGGTAATATAAATTTTGCAAATTGATTAGGATTTTATCCCGGACAATTTTATCATCGGTTACTTTAAATAAGATATATGATGTTTGTGTTGAAAAAACAAAAGCTCAACTAAGGTTATTGTCTGAATATCCAACGATAACATGTGATAGTTGTTGGTGAGATTTTAGACACTTATTTTGTATCATCGCACATCGATATCGATGATTTAAATGAATTTGATGAAAATAAAGAAAATGATCATCAGATAATTTCTTTAGATTCTTCTGGTATTAAAATGTTACTATGTCGTATGAAAGTCGAATCGATTGTTAGTTTATGATGTTCTACTGAACATATCAGTAGGCAACGAAATGTGTTCTGGATATACACAAGAATGGAAAATATACAAAACTGAATATAAAGAAGAAGCTATTGTTTTTGAGCTAAATTGAATTCTGTTGCAATATAACGTTCAGAATGATAATTTTTGAGATACCATAGTGTAACTATAAGCAAATTCATTGGAGATAAATATGATGTATTGTTACCATCTGTGTGTTCCTCGTTCCTATGCGAGCAGTACTTCGGAAGATGTTGTTCAGACAGAGAATACAGTTGTTGAACTTATTCGACGTCGTGCCCGGTACGTTGTCGACTACACTCATCACTACGTTTCCATTCTGACCATAGACGTTGTGCTAAAATAATAAAATATAAAACGTATGAGGATGTTGAGATGACCAATACTACTCAGTATCATTAAGAGCCTCAAAATGTGTTCAAATAGAACCTAATTTTTCTTTTATTTTCTGTTGTCGTTCTTCTTCGAGTTCAGGTGTACAATAACAGCAAATGTCACGATGGCGATACAGTGCTGTTCAAAATTATAAGAACAAAGCTTTTTTTTTATGTATTAACAAATTTTTATCTCCCTTTTCTCTGCTTAAATTGATCTCTCAAATAGTATATATGTATTCGAGTATGGTCTATCCTACCCATGTAAAAAAAA